TCGCGGTTGTAGTCACCAATCTGGAAGAGGCGAACAGGCTGAAGAAATTGGGACACGTAAAAATTGGTTTTATGTGTTGCCCAATCAGAAGAAGAGTAATGGTCGTCCGGTGTCATCGATGCCTGGGATACGGCCATATTGGAGCCAAATGTCAGAAGGAGGACAGATCGGCTGCGTGCTTTAAGTGCGGTGAGGCCGGTCACAGGTTCTCCAACTGCAAAAAGAACGCAAGCTGCTTTTTGTGCACTGAAAAGTTTGGCAATAAGGTGTCAACCACCCATATTGCAGGCAGCGGAGGATGCGGAGTCTTCAGGTCGGCCCTTGAGGAGGCGAAAAAGACTCTTGCAAGGACTAAAAGTAAATGAGAAGTGTTAAAAGGAGCGAATAGTTTTTAATTGTTTATTTTATTTACTTTGATTATTTTTTGTAGTTTTTATACTGTCCTTTTTACATTTTATTTTTAATAGATTAATATTAAATATTAATCTATTAAACGGACATAAAAACAAATTTTGTTTTTATGTACGTTTACAATTTTATCTTTTAGCCTTTTAATCTTTTTAATGCTTTTTAACATTTGTTCCTTTATTCTTTGACATTGGAATGGTTTTTGATTTTAACTATTGACGCAGAAGAACCGCAGAGAGAGAACAGAGTCGCATGAGCGACAGAGTCGGAGCGCCACCCTCGAAGGCTAAAGTCTTGCGACAGTTCCGAGGGTGGATAAAGGGCTCCAAAAGAAGGGTTACGGGTTTTAGTGGGTCGGGGCTGGCAGTAGGTCGCCAGTTTATTAAATTTTATTATTTTACTTATTTTATCTTTCCTTTTCTTTTTTTTGTTATACCAACCCCACATAACCTTGGAATGCGGAGTTACTTCAAATGAACTTTTACCTCTTTTACAACGAATTCCAGGATTAAAACAATGTTCGTTAAATAATCTTAATAATTGGATAAATGTTGACGAAAATGATCCTGGTTGGCACCAATTGGATATCCAACAAATATATCAAGGGGAAAAAACCGCTGCCAAGTGGTACATTTTTATAATTTTAATGTTCATTTCATGAACACTTTGCTTCCTCATAGAAATAATAATAATTGAAATATAAGAATTAATTTTTATAAAAGAGTTAAAAATCATTAAATCTTGGTCCAAAAAATATATTTTTATATATTCTATAAGATGGTTATAATAGTTTAATAATTACACAATCATAAACAAGAATGTTGACAAAATTATATTTTCCACAATTTTTGATTTTTCAAATACCAATAATTCGATAATTTTTGACCGAATCAGGTTCAAAAATAGGTCAATCGAAGCCTTTTTTAATGCTCTACAAGTTGGTAATGAAACTTTTAAAGTTTCTTTTATATTTTTCAACAAAATTTTCAAAAAAGTGTTATTTTTGAAAAATTTAGATTTTTAAAACTTTAATATCTTTGGCTAATATAAACGAAAAATGTTCAATGAAGGCTCAAAAGATGCGTCTGAAAAAACTCTACAAAACTAAAAAAAACATTTATAGGTGCCCTAACATTTTTTTTAAGTTATGGACAAAAAACGTTTTTTTACATATGAAAAATGCAAAAAAAATATAGTTAAACTTTATGAATCGGGATGAAAATACTCTCATTTTATCTCCCCCGGGAAGACCTACAATTTAAAAAAAATTGAGGCCTTTATCTCTTTCTCGTTCTGAGATATTGAGGCAAATGTAATGTTAGTACACACACACATCGGGACAAATTTTTAAAATCCGTTTTTTGGACTTCGGAGGTCAAAATATGTCGAAATTTTTTTTTTATTTATTTAGAACATTTATACGGGCAGTGCCCATTCGTACATAAAGTACTAAAAGATTAGGTATAACGAAAAAAGATTTATAAATATGTCAAAAAATCACAATTGAAAATTTTGCTAATACTATCCTTCCTCTATGAGGAAGCAATTTAATTATTTACTATTAGGCATATAATTTCTTAGACAAAGATTTAAATTAAATTTATTTTTTTCACCATTCAATTCAATGATTCTACATTTAAAAATGAAGGAGAAGAAGAAGTTGGAGAAAAGGAAGATGAAGAAGATGAAGAAGAAGAAGACTATGCTAGGAAGAAAGACAACATTATGACTGAAGCTAACGAAGCTTTTAAGAGTTTTTTAAATTTTAAGACGGTATGAAAAACGTTTCGAATGCCCAGAACAACATTTATTAACAATACAATCCATGGAGGAATGTATGAAAGAAATTGTTTCGGATATTAATCTGCGATTCATGACATGATATGGTGTAGATTTTTCAAGATAATGTAATAAAAAAAATATGTTTGAATTTTAAAAATTATTTTTTTGTTAATAAGATTTTTTTAAATTTTTTGAATTTATTTGGTCCAAGTTTGACAACCTGCATTTTCTAAGAAAAAAATTTTAATTTTCATAAATTTAATGTTTAAAAATTTTTGTCATTCCCCTAAAAATGGGTGGACGTACAATTTTGACCGGTACTGTAAATGTACGACCCTGAAATTACCACTTCCATTCTGTAGGGGCGTGGCTTAGGTCAGTGACACTTACTGAGACAGACGGTTTTGAAAAATTCCAAGTGACAACACTTGGCGAGACCTGACTGTATGTAGAAATTTGAAGTATACCTTATTTTTTCAATTTAACATTTTTTACTTTTGTTTGTGTAATGCTGGGAGCAAAAGTTTTTTTTAGTTCTTTTCTACACTTTTACGAATTTTTTCTTAAGGAAATTCTGAGGCAATCGTGTAATATTTCCAAATATTAGGTCTTAGGTTTTTAAGGTACACACCTCAGGAATATTTACCACCAAAAACTTTGATGAATTTGCAAAGCGTTTTTTTTAAACAAATACTAATTCTCAAAATGGGCTTGTAGAGCAAACCGGCCATAGGATATTTTTATTGTATCAGAGTTTCACGAAAATTATTATTAATTAGAATGATTTTTTCATTAAAATATTTACTTTCAATGAAAAATAATTATTTCCCAATGAGAATTAGACCCTTTAATATTATTTCCCTGATAATTTCAAACATTTTTGTTTTGTTATTAACCCTCCATCCGTCGCATGGAGAGAATTTCCCTCACCCAGTTTCTTTTTTTATTTATAACTTTTAAAATACAAGAAATTATAATTTCATATTCTCATTACCTTTCACAACACTCTTCTTCTTTACATTAAAACAATTTTTGTGTTTTTTTATATTTTAATTTCTTTGTTATTGAATTTAAAAGCAGCAAATGTCGAGGATTTTTGACGCGAAGTGAGGGAACTTCTCACCATGCGACTGACCGCGTATACTCGATTTCATTTGTCATTAATTTTTTATTTAAATAATTAACAGAAAATAAAAGTTAATTTTACTGCCAATAGGTTGTTTAGAAATTCTAATGAACATTCAAAAAAAAATTGGCATTTTAGAACAAGTTTGGACTAATTTATGAGGGTGAGAATTTCTCTCACCTGCGACGGATGGAGGGTTAAAAAAAATTATTTATTAAATTAAAATTTAATCCTGTATTATTATTTACATTATTACAACCAATGTTCACATGATTCTTTATGTTTGTTGTTATTGTAGATTATACAAATGCAATATCATAGATAAAAAACCTAGGTGATGGCCGGTTTACCCCAGGGGGTGGGTCAAACCGGCCAGTTTGCAAATTTTTTTAAAGTTAACACAGCAACTAAACAATAAAAGATAAAGTATAGGTACCTCTAGGAAAAAGTTGCGCAATTAAATGATCTTTTAAACAAGCCATCGAAAAATGAAATCGGTTGATTCGTTTAGTCACAAGAGTAAAAAAACCATTAGTATGGCCGGTTTGCCCTACTCTCCCCTATTCATTTTTTAGTTTATTTATTTACTTATTTATTTAAATTTTCATTTATTTTTTATGTATTTTTCTTTATTTCTTTATTTATATTTACTTCTGTATCTTCTTACTTCGTGAAACTACTCATAATGAATAAAAATACCTATAAAAAATACACTTTTCAAATATTTTCCCTCTAGCAGAAGCGTCATAGGGTGTTTACGAGATGCTCGCCCTAGGGCGCCCCGAGGCGACCAAAGGTTCTCAAAGTCACTTTTATTATCGTTTGTTTTCATATAAATAAAGAACAATAAAAGTGACTTTGAGAACCTTTGGTCGCCTTGGGGCGAGAATCTCGTAAACACCCAGAGTATTAAATTCGTTGGCGCGAAATTTAAACTTAATTAAAGAAAGCGAAGTAGATGACTTAAGAATAAGATAACTTAAAGAAAAACAAGTAAAAATAAAAGTAGAGATAAGTAAAATACATTAAATAAATAGTACAGAATTAAATAAATTAATCGTCTCTTCATTTCGAATGTCAGCAAAGAGTTTTTTGCCCTCTAGAGGAAGCGTCATAGAATTAATTTCAATGGCGCGAAATTCAAATTTTTTAAAAGTAAAAATCGAAGTTAGTAAATTTAACTTGAAGATAAATAAATAAAAATTAATTAGAGATAAATAAAAACCAAAAGAATAAATTACTTTTTTATTTATTTTTTTATATTTATTCCTTTTTTTCTTTATTTTGTGAAACAACCCATAATGAATAAAAAATAGCAATAAAAAATATACTTTTTCCTAAGTTAACTAAGTGAGAAATTTACATTATTAATGAATCGTTCCATTCCACTTATTTTCCCTTGGGAAAATAAAACAACAAAAAAATCCCACCATTTCTAAAACTTGTAGTTTATAGGAAATGCCTACTCGTACATGTATATAATGTTAGAAGAACCGTGTGAAGAGATAAAACCGATTGCAAAATAAGATGATCTGACCATCGTCACTGATAGGTCCATTCGTTACTATATGTTTACTTGTGAATAAAATGCATTGACCTAGGCTTCCAACTCTCTTGCATTCGTAGAATCGATATCGGATTATATCAGTTTCTATGGTATATAAGACAAGTCGCCAAGTCAGTTATATGCGAACCGTTACGCGCTGTGAATCTACATCGAATCTCCTTCGACCTTTTCCTTCTTATTTTTTTTCTCTTTTTTGATTAAACGATTACTGATTATTCACTGCCAATGTAAGTAACAATAAGTGACTATTTACTACATTTCAATACAGAACATATATACATAATAAATACATTACGTATATAATAAAAAAGAAATCATTAGTTTTTCGAATATTGATTTTAAAACGTTCTAGTCCAATTGTCTGCGCGGTGCACAAATAAAGAAATTCATAATACATATGTGAACAGAAAAATTTGTTGTTACAAAATTGTATTTTTTTTTAATATGATTTTTTTAGCTCAGGTTAATACGACATGTGTGGGGTTTTGTTTGTTTATAATTAATGTCCTTGCGGGGAAGTATATGCAAAAAATTACGTAAGATTTTAATAAGGTAAAAGAAAGCGTTGTTGTTATATTGATTGTAAGGATATTTTATGAGAAATCAGTTTCAGTAATTATGCATCATATTACGTCAGTTTAGTGTCGCTTGTATCCTATAGATTTTTTTTACTTTTATTGTACACGCAATTATTCGTACGTATATGCGTGTGTATAATATTATTGAGTTGTTCGATTATTTATCTCGTGAAGTCAGTTTATTTTCTCCTCATGAAGACATTTATATCAGAATTAATATACAGGTATGTGTATATCAATTAATAATAATTAATGATATATAACTCCGAGTTTTCATTATTAATAATCTCTCTTAAATGTACATCATTTTAAATTCGACTTATTTTATTTATTTCTAGAAAAATGAATTTATTTTTTAATTTTAATTTAAAATTCAATTTTTAATTTAATTGATAATTTAATTTTTAATAATTTTTTAATTTAATTTTCAATTTACCTTTTTATTCACATCTAAATTCATTTCGATTGTGAGCCATGCTCCTTTCTTCGCCCTCTATCGGAAGCGTCATAGTATTAAATTCAATGGCGCGTAATTCAAATTTAATAAAAGTAGATAGCTGAATAAGGAATTTATAATTATTATTAATAATATATTTATTATTTATTGCGTAAATAGAATAAAAGATTGTTTAAATAAGACGAGTTTCCTAACTTTTTAAATTAATCTTTTTTTCATTTCGATTGTGTGCAAATTTATTATTATTTCGTGGCCCTCTAGCGAAAGAGTCATAGAATTAAATTCACTAGCGCGAAATTAATAAATTTAATAAAAGTAGAAAGTAAAATAAGTAAATGTAACTTAAAAAATAAATAAAAACAAAAATAGAGATAATAGTAAATAAATAATTTACGTTCATTTTATTCAATTACTTATAAGTAATAATTATTATTAACAATATAATTATTTATTTTATAACAAAAATGAAATATATAATTACGAGTAAAAGATTCCTATCGTTTTTAAGTCAGGCCACTTTATTTTGATTGTGAGCAATGAGTTTTGTTGCCCTCTGATGGAGGCGTCATGGAATTAAATTTATTGGCGCAAAATTCAAATTCAATGAAAATAAATAGCGAATTATGTAAAGACAAATTAAATAATTGAAGATACAATAGAGATAAATAAGAGAAATAAATAAATAATTGGGGCATTTTTTGTCAAATTTTACCCCCTATCTGTCCATTTTTAATTTCAACCAAATAAACCAAATAAGGCTTAAATTAAAGCTTGTAACCTCTACTTTTATTTGCATAGTGGCCTTTTTTTAAAATTCAAGATTTTTAACTTGTACGTCGCTTTAAAGTGATTATTCCTTAATTATTGGTTTTTAATATACCCTGAATATTATTCAGGTATGCTAATAAAATATTCCTCATGAACATTCCTTAAACTTACCTAGGAAATATTCTATATTCGTGGACATTTACCTACTTCCGTGATCCTTCCTACACGGAGAAAAATGATGCTGAGTTTCTAGTAATAGTTTCTACGGAATAGTAATAATTCTACTTTTATATTAAAAATTACTATTCATAGTAAAATGTACTTTGCATGAAGTAAATATTACTATTTCTGGTAGTCAAAATTACTAATAGTAATTATTACATTAGTCACTTTTAAAAAGTGCTTTAAGAATTTTAATTTTTACATCGTCATTGCAGATTTTATTAAATTTTGTATTACTTTTTACATTCGATATGTTGTAAATATTACTCGTAGAAATTCTAATAATTAATACTCGGAAAATAAAGATTACTTCTGCAAGAAACAACTTTTACTATTGAAGAGCGAACTTTTTCCTCGAAAAAGTAGTAATCCGTACCACTACTACTATAGACCTGTGTGTGTGATGACGTCACTACTGTCATGCGCACCGATCGTAGCCTGAAGTCGAGATTTCCACTGTTTGGGCCAAAAGTGTGTTTAAAAAATTTTCAATGGATTTTTATGAAACTTGGTACCCTAAGGTCTCTGGGGTCGCTGATTACGAATCTGACATCAGTTTTTCGAAATTCAAAATGGCGGATCCAAGATGGCGAACATTTTTTCAAAAATTCGGCGAATTTGCTTGAAACTTGTTACTCGGGGGTTTTAAGGGTCGCTGATTAAGAATCTAACATTAGTTTTCCAAAATTCAAAATGGCGGACAACGAAATAAAAAATTGATCAGATTGGCTTGAAACTGAATACTCGGGGGTTTTTAGGGTCGCTGAATACGAATCTGACATTAGTTTTTCAAAATTCCAAATATCTGGTTCAATATGGCGAAAAATTTTTTTAAATTCATTGAATTTGTTTGAAACTGGTTAATCTGACATCAGTATGATAATTTTTAGTGAAATCAAATTTCGATAAATACCCTGACAAACTAATGTCAGTTTCGTATTCAGCGACCCTAAAAACCCCCGAGTATTCAGTTTCAAGCCATTCTGATCAACTTTTTATTTCGTTGTCCGCCATATTGAATCCGCCATTTTGAATTTTGGAAAACTAATGTTAGATTCGTAATCAGCGACCCTTAAAACCCCCGAGTAACAAGTTTCAAGCAAATTCGACGAATTTTGAAAAAATTTCCGCAATCTTGGATCCGCCATTTTAAATTTCGAAAAACTGATGTCAGATTTGTAATCAGCGACCCCAAAAACCTCCGAGTAATTACGTTTTAAGTCAATCTGATCAATTTTTTATTTCGTTGTCCGCCATATTGGATCCGCCATTTTGAATTTTGGAAAACGAACGTCATATTCGTAATCAGCGACCTTGAAAACCCCCGAGTAACCGGTTTCAGGAACATTCAAGAAGTTTTTAATCACCTTTTTTAAATTGCGCATATATGCGTCATGAACACTTTTGGCCAGTTTAGTTTTACGCATATATGCGTCAGCGACATTCAACGGGTTAAGATTATAATATTACTAGCAAAGCTACGCTCGTGCGATATTTCTACTTTTGTTTTATGATACTCAAGACCTTATTTCATTGTGTGTATATAAAATTGTGACCAAGACTTTAAAATATGTTTCTTTTTTCTTATGAAATATTAGAAAAAGATTACAAATTTTTTTGAAGAATATTAAAAAAACATAAAACACGAAAACTAAAAATAGTCATGATATAAGCCGTGGTATAAGCTTAGGGGCCGTCCATAAACCAAGAGGACAATTTTTCACCAATTTTTGCCCCCCCATCCAATATGGAACAAAAAATTTTACTTTATGCAATTGACTTTAATTTTGTCACTCGGTGGTTTTTAGGGTCGTTGATTACGAATTTAATGTAAGTTTTCATATATTTAAAATGGCGGATCCAATATGGCGGAATTTTCTTTTAAATTTATGTACTTGACCTTAATGCTGTTACTCGGGAGTTCTAACACCAGACAGGTAGCTGTAAATATCCTAGGAGCGCTCACTGACAATCGACTTCTGTTTTAGCACTTGCGCCGACTCACGACCAGCGAACGTGGATAGAAAATTTTTTTAATTTCTCTTTCCCATATTATATTAGCCACTTTTAATTTTTGAAAACAAACAATGTATTCGTAATCAGCGACCCTGAAAACCCCCGAGTGACAAAATTAAGGTCAATTGCATAAATTCTAAAAAATTTTGTCCGACATATTGGATCCGACATTTTGAATTTCTTAAAAATATCATTGAATTCATAATCAGCGACCCCAAAAGTCTGCGAGTAAGAAAATTTAGGCGAATTTAATTACATTTTGGTATTTTGAAAAATAGTGACCAAAACCCTTTCAAAGTTTCCTTCATATTTAACGCCACATTTGGTCTGCCATCTTGAAATTTTAAATTCTAATTTACGTTTCTTAAAAGTATACAATTGTTGTGCCCCTGTGGATGAGAAATGAATCTATAGACGTCATACACTGTGAAGGTGTTAATGGATAAAAAAATTATAAAACTTGAAAAAATTGAAATTTTTTGTGTCTTTGAAATTAGAACTGCCATATTTAATTTTTGGGTTGAATGAATTTCTTTTTTTTATAGCGGAATCGAAAAGAGCACACTCAATACCTATAAGAAACATACTTGCGGTATAAAACATGATCCGTTTTATTCATAAAAGTCTAGGTTGAAATTGCGCAAAAAGAATTTTCTTATTTCTGGTGTTAATGGGTTAATCATTAAAATAATAAATAAACACTATAATTTAATTAAACACTTTATTTTTTATAATTATTATAATATTATATCAATACCATAGTCAGGGAAATGTCAGGAAAAAATTTTTTCAGGGAAATTAAGAAAATTGGGACTTTTTCCAACTTACTTCAAAAAATTGCGACTTTTTTGTCTTTTCCTTCAAACGTTGCATCAAAATACTACAATTTTTAGTAAAAAAGTGCAAGTTATTTTGATTTTGATAATGCGAAGAGTAACTATAAACAAATCATTCAAAAATTGATTTTGAATCATTTTTAACCCCTTGGCTGTCAACGAGATTTCCACTGTTTGGGCCAAAAGTGTGTTGAAAAAATTTTTAATAGATTTTTATGAAACTTGGTACCCTAAGGTTTCTGGGGTCGCTGATTACGAATCTGACATCAGTTTTTCGAAATTCAAAATGGCGGATTCAATATGGCGGACAACGAAATAAAAAATTGATCAGATTGGATTGAAACTAAATA